AATGTAACTAATTCACTCTTCACCCACTAGCTGCTTACTTTCATTAAACTATAGACTAAATTGCAGCTACTACACTAAATACAATTATTATGACTTCTTTACGGGTGTTTTCTGTCTGCTTAAAGTAATAAACTCTAATTATCAGTCACACCGTGAACTTTATATATCCATCACATTTTACTGTGTATGTAACTATAGACAGTGGATTTCATAGTATATGTAATCAAGATTACTCATATGTAATACATAAACATATATCTTATTCCGAGAACATTATATGTAATAATATTTCAACTTGGAGTCTAATTATTCTTAGTGACATTATCCATATAATAGCTATATATGATGATAAGGGATACTGTTGCTTTAAACAATGATGATGAAGAAGATTGATCAAAAGTAAGAGAAGAAACAAAGAAATGGACTCTCCTTTTTACAAAACTCGATTAAAGATAAATATGCAGGAACAAAAAATGTCGGCTTTAAACCCTACAAAGTTCCCACAGTATCCATGTTTCCCTCACACCACGCCCCCCTCTACTGTCTCTTTCTTTTATACGTACCGTATAGTATAAATGATCGTATATATCAGTATTATCATATGTTATGTATATGGCTTTATGCAATGCAAATGAGGGCCTTCGTATGGTTAACCCTTTTTCATAGCATTGTATAGATAATTATGATGAGTGCATGATGTGCATCGATGTGCTGAGTGTATATGTAGGTGCATTATAAGTTATGATTGTTCTTCCTATACTGATTGTTATGATAGTATTTATTTGCCTTTTTTCCTGTTGGCATTATTACGCATTCTCAATGTCATAATAATACAAGCCTTCTTTTCTTGGTCCCTTTTGTTTCCTTTAAAAAATCTTCATCGCTTTTTTCATAACTTTTAATTGTACAGAACTATATAATAATATACACATGCTACAAGATTTTGGTTCGTAATTCTTTATCTCTTAGGATCCCACATTTATATAACGTTAAAATAGTACATAACTCACATTAGAGTTGTGATATTTTTTTCTCTATCATGTTATCACTCTATTCACAAGTTGATTTTTTTTCTGATCCGTTGTTACTCGATGTTAATGTACGTTTTAGTTATTAGTTTAGATTAAAAATTAGTAGTCAAATTTAAAAGAGAAGAGTCTATTGAAAAGTGAATACTGGGGATATATCCATCCATAGATTGACTAAACCTGTATCTAATAAAATTGTTAATAGATTCTGTAATAAGACCCACTGGTCCATAACTGTATGCTCTACTCTATACGTACCAATATAGCTCATAGGAGACGTCCCGTCACTCCCATTATTTTGGCTTTACTTTTATGATTCTGGGGTCCATATTCCAATTTTATTCTTTCTTGTTTTTCTAACATAAATATTTTATTTAGTTTTTTGTTCAAAAAAATATTTTTATTTAGTTTGAAATTTAGCTGCAAGTCTAAACCAATAATAAGACACTTTTTCTTATTTGTGAAAATAATAAAAATACATATTGGAAAAATGTTATGGATTTGTTTTTGTGAATTATGGATCAAATTGAACGACTAGACAGATATTTAAACACTTATTCATAGGTGTAAACAATGACTTTCCAATTTCCATTTAAATTGACCAATTTCTTTATTTATAGTCTCAGTTAATAACTTAATATTCTTCAGATGTTTAAATGGAAAAATACCTGACTTTTCATAATTTAATTAATATATATAATTAGATAGAGTAAGAAAAAAATATACAAGTTAGGATAAGGTAAAATATGATTGTTAAAAAATGGTAAAAAGAATAAGTTACAAAAAAAGTAAAATATGATTAATGGTGGACTGGTAGTTTTAATGGTTTGGACAGTAGTTATGGTTTTGCTACCCTAAAAGCCTACTCCTAAAAGATAAACATTTATTTTCACTGTTATAGAAGCATTGCATATTACTCCTTCTGCAGCTTTAGAATTTCAAGTGCCAGAAACCATGCGGCATAATTACTCCTACTGTTTGTATTTTTTTTTTAATTCTTTAGCCTACAGTTTTCTTTGTGCTGTTTGATCCCACTATTGTTTATTTTCCGAAGAGTATACTATTGATAATTAACGCTTAGTGCATTATGCATACAACTAAACAGAACATTAGATTTATGAAATTATGACCAACAAAGTCATAGTATGAGTATATGACCATTAGGTAACGACGTCGGAAGAGCATCATCATCGTTGTCTCTTATGGCAGCTCTAAGATGGTGGGTCTTGATTTTTTTAAAACCTTCTCTTTTCTCTTTTCTCTTTTTCTGCAAGTGTTAATTCTTGTACTAATTTGCGAACCTCACGATACGTGGCGGTCCACAATTGATTTTTTTTTTTTTTTAACTGATATAAAAAAATTTTAAGAGTCATTTTTTCTGCTCTAAGCGATATGATGCTCTAAAGCTTAGCAATCGTTTCGAATGGGCGGCACGTAGGCAGAATCGACGGTTAGGAGGCATTCTAGGGAAGTTGAGAAAGAACGTGGGTGAATTACGAAGCCGTTGAACGGCGTGCAAGAGCGCGTGCTTTTCAGTTTTTACGTTATTTAATATTAACCGTTGGATCAAATTCGTCGATTCCACAGATGCGTGCGCAAAGGCACATGCTGTTATGAAGACAATCACGTGTCATCCTGGTATTGGATACTTTTGCTAACTCCGTTTGTGATAGCAAGACAAATGAACTTTTTAATAAGCGAGTTTATTTATGGTGTCTATAGTGGTAGCACTTAATTAAATAGGACAAACTCCCAAGCTATTAATTAATGGTCACAAATCCTAATAACTGCAAACCAGTTTTTGGACAAAAAATGTAATGGAATTCGTTATTTTATTCTACCCGATTTTCAATAGAAAAAATCAATAAACACATGAAAAGGAAAAATATTAAATGAGAAACTAGAGAACAGTACGATTTTTGAAACAAATATAATAGAATTCGAAACGGTTAGGAATGTGATAATCACGAAGATGGCATGATATTATAGTTGGAGAGGGTTACTTGGCGAAAGAATCAAATAGAATTTTCACAAATATGGAATGTGACGTGGCCTTATTTTCATATTATTTTTGCAACTCTACACAATCGTGATAAACTTAGCTACATATGCTTAATCACATTCATTTGACTTGATAATTGAAATAATTCGTCCAGCATTTTAAGATCTATAACATATATATAAGTTAATACTCCACGGTTATAACACATTAACGTATGTATGTTACCTAATAGTTTTGCATTGAGAATGAGTGGCAATCCACGATTATCCGAATTATAATTAAACTTGATTTGCCGTCCACTTCAGGCGTGCCGAGCGGTCAAAAATTTCAGACGTAAAAGCACCAAATAATGCAGTTCACTTTTTCTTATCACCTTTTTATTTTTGTTGTTTTTGGCTTCGTGATTATACTTGAAAGAATATTTATTTCACTATAAAAAGACTTAAATATTATTTTACATGATTGCTTTTTATATAAGACAAAATAAATGTCAAAGATTACGATAGATAATAAGAGTTGTTAGGCTAGAAAGTTGTGCATTCTCGAATGCTGAGAGATACAGACTGCTGCAAATTTAGAGGTAATACAGTACACTTCATCTGGATAATGATGCTAGGGATAATAAGTATCATTCACATTCTCTTGGTAATGGTATAACTAAGGAAGAAATAAGAGAGTAATCTCAACATCTATAGACTATAGGAATGAGATTTAACAATCGGATCTTGTTTTTTAGTCCAAAGAATTATAGATTTTGGTCTGCATTTTTTTGCAATTTGAAAAAAAAAAAACCGGCGCAAGAGGTTGCAAGATTCACTCTTAGGCTTCAGGCTAATACACGCCACTTTAACATTCTCTTATTTCATACGCATCTTCTCTAAATCTTCATGCAATGTCTCACTCACTACTCACGTTCCCTTTTCCAAACATTAGAGCACCCCATTGAAGGTTCATGAGGAGAGTTCACACGGAAATCAAGAAAAAAAATAATAAAATAATAAAAACCAATGAACCCTTCTCTCCTAAAATTCACCGCGGTGAACCCCTCTCTCCTGAGATTCAACACGTGGCGATTCGGAATTGGTCTAGATTTTTAATAATAAAAAATGATTCAAGAAACACCTTCTGTAGATACCATAAGCATTTAAAGTACTTAGCAGGTAATAGAAAAACATTTTGGAAAAGTATATAAGTTTTTGCTACCAGAAAAGAAACCTCCTTTGTCATAAAGTTAATCATAGTATTTGTTTTTTTCGCTTTATTGTTTTGTATATAGTATATTTTTAAAAAATCAACCAAGGTGGTTGAAAAAATAAAACACTTTTGGAAGAAAATATTAAATTTTGTGTTACATTATATATTGTCACTCATGGTACTTATTTTAAAGCTTTATTATCTGACTTATAACATAAGCATTTAAAGTACTTTGTACAATCAACTACATTTCTGTGCATACCAGAGATTACGTGTGCTTACTACTCTATTAATTTTTGACGTAAATTGCTGAAACATTATTTAATTTTTTTATATGTGCTCAAACACCAAAAGATATATTAATTAATGTGAAAACAAATAAAATATAAATATTATTCGTTTTGAGAGTACAAAGCTGCAACGGCATCGCCATATACAGAAAGTTTAAGCGCAGGATAAGAGCATGCACACGCTTTCCCATTTCCAAGCAAAAAACAACCTGTACATACACACATGCTTGTAATTCATCTTGAGAGAGAGGAAAATATGGACATTTCTTAAAGAAAATAAAAGAAAATTTTATTTATTTATTAAAGCTTTGTCTCTCTCTCTTTTTCTCAATTCCTTCTTGTTCTTGTTTGCATCCAGAAATGAAAAGAATGAAACTGTTTGCTTTCATGATGACATCTTTGGTTTCTCTTGTTCATTGAAGAGTTGAGTTTGGTCTGAGAAAAGAGAGAGAGAGAGAGAGAGAGAGAGAGAGAGAGAGAGAGAGGCAAAAGCCCCACAAGAGAGACATGCTTGTCTGTGTGTAGTCCCTTTTATGTATGTTCTTTAATCTCTCCCACTCTCTTCTGTTCTGTTCTTGTCATTGTGTAAGGGTTTTTGTCTTTAACCAAGAAAAAAACCAGATTCCATGAACTGGGTTTGTCTTTAATTTTTCTGGTTTCTTGATTTATCTTGTACCCTGTTTGTTCAATAGGACACATTTGTCTCTTCTTGAGTAGAAAAAATAAAAAAAGAAGACTTTGTAAGGAAAGATAATCTTAGTCTAGCTTGGAAGACTAGTGTTGAGTGTGGGAGAGACAAAACAGAATGGCTTCATTGGCTTATGTTGAGGACAAGATGAAAACAAATGGCTTGGTTAATGGAGGAACAACAACAATAACTTCTCAATCTACTCTGCTTGAAGAGATGAAATTGTTAAAGGATCAGTCAGGTTTTAAATCTTGTTTCAGATTTAGTCCAAAACATATTGAAATCTTGTTAACTTGCCTTAAATTTTTTTTGTTTGGTACATGTTCAGGAACAAGAAAGCCAGTGATAAACTCTATGCTATGGCATGCTTGTGCAGGCCCTCTTGTTTGTCTCCCTCAAGTTGGTAGTTTAGTGTATTACTTCTCACAAGGACATAGCGAACAGGTAGGTAACTTTTGAGTGTCTTTAAGAACAAGAATTGTATATTGTAAGCTCTTTTGTTCAATGGTTTGAATTGTTTGATTTGAATCAGGTTGCTGTTTCAACCAGAAGGTCAGCAACAACCCAAGTTCCTAATTACCCAAATCTTCCATCTCAGTTGATGTGCCAAGTCCATAATGTTACCCTTCATGTATGCTTTATCTATCTCATTTGCTTTTGTATGCAAACAGGTTTCATTTATCCTGACAATGGTTTTGTTTCATTTTGATAGGCAGACAAAGACAGCGACGAAATCTATGCTCAGATGAGTCTACAACCTGTTCACTCCGTAAGTTCAAATTCTTGCAACTTCCCTTTTATAAACACATTGCAAAAGTGAAATGAGTTTTTAAATGGTTTGTGCATCAGGAGAGAGATGTCTTCCCTGTACCAGACATTGGGCTATTAAGAGGAAGCAAGCACCCATCTGAGTATTTCTGCAAAACGCTTACCGCAAGTGACACAAGTACCCATGGAGGTTTCTCTGTTCCACGTAGAGCTGCAGAGAAGCTATTTCCACCGTTGGTGAGTGTTCCCTTTTCCCTCAGTAAAGCTCATGTTCCTTTTGCTTCAAGTGCTGATGTGTTATGCATTATAGGACTACACAGCACAGCCACCAACGCAGGAGCTTGTAGTTCGAGATCTTCATGAGAATACTTGGACATTTCGCCATATCTACCGAGGTAACTCCAAACAAATTTGTCTCTCTCTCTCTGTATAGACTTAGTTGATTTTGAGCTCAGTTCTTGCTTGCATTCTCAGGGCAACCAAAGAGACATCTCCTAACAACAGGATGGAGTTTGTTTGTTGGCTCAAAGAGATTGAGAGCTGGAGATTCCGTTCTGTTCATCAGGGATGAGAAGTCGCAACTGATGGTTGGTGTGAGGAGAGCTAACCGGCAACAAACAGCACTTCCTTCATCAGTACTCTCAGCTGATAGTATGCACATTGGTGTTCTTGCTGCTGCAGCTCACGCAACTGCAAACCGCACTCCTTTCTTGATTTTCTTTAATCCAAGGTCAGCTCTAAAAACCATCTACAAACATCTTCTCACATGACTAAACAAGAGCTTATTGGTGTTTGTTTGTTTTCAGAGCGTGTCCAGCAGAGTTTGTGATTCCTCTAGCTAAGTACCGTAAGGCTATATGTGGATCTCAGCTCTCTGTTGGTATGAGGTTTGGAATGATGTTTGAAACTGAGGATTCAGGGAAACGTAGGTAAGTGTTCCTCTATAACTACAATGTATCTGTTTCTTACCTATCAAATATTGTTTGGTTGTTCACTTCACTATTTCTTCAGATACATGGGAACCATTGTTGGAATAAGTGATTTGGATCCATTGAGATGGCCTGGCTCTAAGTGGCGTAACCTTCAAGTTGAATGGGATGAGCCTGGATGTAATGATAAGCCGACTAGGGTCAGTCCATGGGATATTGAAACACCTGAAAGTCTCTTCATCTTTCCCTCGTTGACCTCAGGACTCAAACGTCAGCTCCATCCATCTTACTTTGGTAAGTTTATAAAGACAAGTGTTCTGTTTGTGATCCATGTGCAGGAATCACTAACTGTTGTTATGATATTTTGCAGCTGGTGAAAACGATTGGGGTAGCTTGATCAAACGGCCAATTATCCGTGCTCCTGATTCAACAAACGGGGTTCTTCCTTACGCATCATTCCCAAACATGGCTTCAGAGCAGCTTATGAGAATGATGATGAGACCTCACAACAATCAAAATGTAGCTACATCTTTCATGCCTGACATGCAGCAGAATGTTTTGATGGGGCATGGAGGTTTACTAGGAGATATGAAGATGCAGCAACCAATGGTGATGAACCAGGTGGTGCAGGTGCAGCCAGAAAACAATCTAACTGTGAACCAATCTGCTTCCAATACTAGTGGTCAAGAACAGAATCTGTCACAAAGTATGAATGCTCCTACAAAAACTGAAAACAGCTCTGGGAGAGTCAATCATGGTAATGAGGAGCAGTCAATAGAACAGGCTAGAGTGTGTAATGAAGAGAAGGTTAATGAGCTGACTCAGAAACCGGGTGCCTTGTCTCCTTTACAAGCTGATCCATGTCCTGAACAGATATACCCACCACAGTCTGATCCAACAAATGGGTTCTCTTTCCTGGAAACAGAAGAGCTAACATCACAGGTCTCTTCTTTCCAGTCTCTTGCCGGATCATACAAGCAACCACTAGTGCTATCCTCCAACGATTCTTCACCTGTTGTGCTACCTGATTCAACAAACTCATCACTGTTTCAGGATATGTGGGACAATCAGTTAAACGGTCTAAAGTTTGACCAGTTCAGTCCCTTGATGCAGCAGGACCTTTATGGTAGTCAGAACATGTGTATGAGTAATACCACAAACAGCAACATTCTAGATCCTACCGTTCTTGATGACTTCTGTGCCATCAAAGAAACTGACTTCCAGAACCACCCTTCTGGTTGTTTGGTCGGGAACAACAACAACAACAGCTTAGCCCAAGATGTGCAGTCGCAGATCACATCTGCTAGCTTTGCAGACTCACAGGCCTTCTCTCGTCAAGATAACTCTGGAGGAACTGGTACATCTTCAAGCAATGTTGATTTTGATGATACTAGTCTGCTGCAGAATAGTAAAGGCTCATGGCAGAAACTTGCAACGCCCCGTGTCAGAACTTACACCAAGGTAACAAAAGCTATCCCTTCTTCCTTCCACTCACCGAGCATGTATTTTCTCATATCATCTGACGTTGAACTTTGGTTCTGTAGGTCCAAAAAACCGGGTCAGTTGGGAGGTCTATTGATGTCACAAGCTTCAGGGACTATGAAGAGCTAAAATCTGCAATTGAGTCCATGTTTGGACTAGAAGGATTGCTCACTCGCCCACAAACCTCTGGATGGAAGCTTGTGTATGTTGATTATGAGAGTGATGTTCTGCTTGTAGGAGATGATCCATGGGAGTAAGATCCTCTCTCACTTTCTTATTAATTTCACATCAGTTTATTTTTTCCTTACATGACTGCATAAACTGGTGCAGGGAGTTTGTGGGATGTGTAAGGTGCATAAGGATACTGTCGCCAACAGAGGTTCAACAGATGAGTGAAGAAGGAATGAAGCTTTTGAACACCGCATGCATTAACGATCTCAAGGCTTCTGTTTCATAAATGTAGAGCAATATGAACAAATTATAGGCCAGAACTATCTTGTTGTAAGCATCTGATGTGTTGTTTTGACTTTGAAACCTGCAACTATTTTTAAGATTATGTAGACTGTAGTGAGGGATGAATGAATGAATAGTTGAAAGTTGAAACTGTCTGTAATCAGAAACTATGTCTTGATTAGAATTTTCGTTTTGTTTCAGTTATTTAACACGTTAAGAAGTAAATCTATATGCACTAAATAATTGTTTAAAGTGGATGTTAATGTCAAGTTTTTGTTTGGTTTGAGACTTTCAGTAGATGAACATCCTTAAAAGGAGAAAATTCCCTAATTATATTTTATGATTTGTGGAATAAACCAAGTAGATTTTTTTCAAAAAGTAAATAAAGTTATATAGCAGCAAAGCCAGGCAAGAGAGAAAAAAATTGCTCTGCTGCTAACAACAAGCTCTCTCACCGAGAGCATGGTGGTGGTAATGCTAATTCTGCTTCAGTCCCTCTCAAATCTCATTCTTTTTGCACTTGGCATCTCAGAATTGTTGATATTACCATTGTTTGGATTCCTCGGCTGGTAAGCTGCAGCATCGTGCTGGTATGAACAGTTGGCTCCATTGCGACAACCCCTCGAGCTGTTGAAGTACATGCACGGCTTCATTATCTTTTGTTTTGAATCCCTTGGCCTCTGGTTATTATTATTGCTATTTACCATCTCAGGGTTAGGTCCTCCAGGTTGAGAGTTATATCGATGATAACCGATATGTTGTTGAACTGGTGGTGCATCTTGTCTTTCCCCGCCGTGTTGCTGAATCAGGCTCTTGTAATAACTAGCATCTCTGGCTGGTGGTGCTCCATAGTTAGGCTGATCTGACGAAGCTGGAGGAGGATAGGTCATGGAAGGAGTATTAGTTACCGTTGGCTGAGGGTAATATTGTCCATTTGAGCTGGCAGGTGTTGAGGTGGCTACTCCGTTTGCTTCATGTGTTGAAGATAGGTAGGGATTAATTGCGTTTGGGGAGACTGAACCTGAGCCACCACTATTTGCAACAAGATTCTCCACTAACTTAGGGCTGCTCAATATTTTCATAAGCAGAGCTTGGTCGATCATGCCGCTGCCTAGTTCCTTGTTGTTTGAAATTGCAGTTAACGCAGCCATAATTTCTGACGCTGCAGGGAGGGTTGAAGAAATTGATGTGTTCTCATCGGCTCTTGGTGGCTCTGTTCCCACATCCACGCCAGATTGGGCTGGGAGATCAGATGCTGGATCTATGTCATCGTCTTCTACAGGTAGGATGGGGATGACAACGGTTTGCTGATCATCATAATCTGAGTTGTCAACATCAGCAGGAACTGAAGGGCTGCAGATTTGAGTTAAAGAAAAGACAAAAAAGTCAGAAAAAGGTAAAAGGGATATGCAAACGATGCGTTGATAGAATATGTAGGGATAGATCCGGACTTTGGAGGAATAGCTGATGCGCCAGGATAGAATGCTTCAAGAACTCTCAGTTCCCTCTGATTTTGCGCCTCCACCTCTTCGCTTTCTTCCCCTGCAACCACTCTCCATTCCTCATCAAGCATAATCTGCAAGAACACATGTTATTCCATGTTTAACATACTCATAGATTTAATGATTCTAGGTTAGAAATAAGGCTTAAAGAGTGGGATCAGTAAGCTCACCCGGATAGAGCATTTCCACTGTATTACTGGGATGTCTGATAGCTTAATCTGTGACTCATTTGCAGAAAGAGGTCCACCGAAACCAGGTGGCAGATTATCCTCGCTCGGATGTGACTTTGCTTGCAGGTGATCTTGAGATTCTGACCCAACTTGTGAAGGTGAATCCTCTGATATGAAGAGCCGTACCTGATTAAAGTGAAAACCAGATTGTTAATTGACATGTGCGCAAGAACCATAGGGAATCATGATCAAATCATACTAGTTAAAGTCTCATGTAGGCTTCACTACACACAAAAAAACATCAATGTTCACCATTGGACCAGGTATCTCAAACATACAATCCAAAGACAGTCAATGTATTACAAGAACGTTGGTAGTCTGGAAAAAGCCTAATCAATGTGGTAATGTATAAGACAATGACCTCAGAATCCAGGAAAGCCTAAATAATCAACTAATTTTCAAATCATGTATACATGCAAACATGCAAAATGGTTCCTCCCAGCAGCTTCCTCCTCTTCCTTCCCAGTAAGTAGTCGACTGGATAATGAATTATCCACATTCCACAAGCTATCTAACCAAAGTATTTTCCATCAGCAAAATGACAGCATCCGAGAGTGTATAAAGGCTGAATGCTTGGTTGAAGATAGCAAAAACCCTTTGGACATGAGCACTTTTGCTTGATTCGCTCTCTGGCACAACTCATCACAGCCTACCTGACAACACTGATCTCATGATTAAGGCTGAGCACCCCCCATGATAGAGTATCTCAGGACTACCTCCTTATCCAAAGAAGCAAAAAATGGGCAACAAAATTTAGATTATGATGCATGAAAAAGAGCAAAAGATATATTGGACTGGCAGGTTTGTCTCCATGGTTCCATCACATATCCCATCGTGATAAAAAAAACTAATAAAGTTGCAGTCATACATATATTTGAAAAACAGAGCACATATATAAGCAATCAAAGTCTCTAGCTCGTCAAAAAACTACCAAACAATAATTCAACTCATCAGATTATAACATCTAAAGGGACATTAAGCAATAGAAAAACCACTTGAATCTTTAATCAGAGCATAAACAAAAAAACTTAGTATCCCTCATACAATTTTTTTCTGCAGTTCCATTGTGACAGTATCATTAGCAATCAGTCAAATTTAGAAGTAAAAGTAAGCAAACATCAACCATGGAAGCTTCCATGGATCGAAAAGAGCTGCAATGTGTTGTTTTTACCTGGCAAAGTTTAAAATCTGGAGGCCATGATACCCTTTTCGATTTGTGCAATGCCCTCATAGTATCTATCACTTCTTTTCAAATCTATAAATCTTATTATTTTTTATTTTTGATGACAGTCCCCAATAATTAATCAAACCAGTAACAGATTGAACCAATCATCATCGTTTTCATCGAGAAACCCTAACTTTTTCGAATATCGGGAGAGATGGAGGAGATTTGAAGGAGAGAAGATGATGATGAGTTTGTGAAATCCAGAACATCTGCGTGTTAAACCCGTCGAGAGAGAGAGAGAGAGATGAGACGAGAGAAGCCCTAGATCCGGTGGGTTCTTCTCTTTCTTCAGGTCACCATCGTCATTTTATCTCTACTTCTCTCTTCCTCCCTTTATACACGTGGCGTGTCTTTGGCACCCGCGCGTACCCTCCTCTCCTCTCATTATTTCTTTCCCTTTTCTCCTCATACTCCCCCTACCTTCCTATATTTCCCATTACCGCCCCTTTTATTTTTTATATTTTCATTCCTGTTTTGGATTTGAACTCAATTATTTTATCTTTTTATTTTGATCAAATGGATTTGAAGTCAATAGGAGTCAGTCAGTTTCATTGACTCAAAGTCAAGATGATCATTCAACCCCCACCATTGAAGTATTCTATGTCTTATATGGTAGATTAACTGAAATCCACATTTACATTTTCATTTCTCATGTAAGACTTACTACTTTCAATCATTTTGATATACGACATAACTATTAATAGTATTATTAATCACGTGTCTGTGGTTGAATGGTAACATAGCGTTCTATGGATCTTACGGAACCTGAGTTTGAATCCATTTACATTCAGATTATCACAGCGCGTGATCACCAGACTTTTACATTCTCTTCTAGGGAATAGTTTACCAGTTTTTTAGTAATAGTATTATTCTTGTGCAGAAATAATCTCATTCCATGACCAGTTTACTTAAGTAATGAAATAATTATGTTCTTGAAAGTCATCCAAATAATTGCACACCAGAGAGAAGAATTGTGTTGAAAATATAGGAATAACCAAAATACTCTATTACACGTCTTTCATCTGATTAGGTTATGTCCAAGCAAATAAACAAACACCAAACCAAACCCAAATAATCCAATAAGAAAGAAAAAGAAAATGACTCTATACAAAACACTCTCGGTTCTTCCTCTTCCACTTTTGTTGTCTGCAACTTAGAGTCTGATAAAAAACATACCAATCATCAAATACTGCAAATTATCAGAACTCCCCTAATATTTTCCTTTCCATCAGCTTCACCTCTGCCATTTTCTATCTGTTAAAAACACAAACAAAGGCAACATTAAATTTTTTTCTCAGTGATTGAGCAAAAAGCATCAAAAATACAAAGAGTAAAAAATAGGACGAGATTCGTTTTACCCTTTGTTCCCGGTTGTGCTTGAGACGTTTGGATTCTAGGAGAAGATGCTAGTTTCCCATTGGCAGTAACAGGCAATGAATGTCTCTTCTTGATGGAAACCTCTCTTTCCTGAAGATCAGGGCTTGATCTTGGTGAGTTATGTTCCTGAACCTTAGCTTTCGCCGACTGTGTTGGCTGCATGAACCGGGGAACAGAGTTCTTGCCTCCGCTGCTTTCTCTTGCTTCTTGATCATAACCAAAAGAGTTTCTTCTCCCACTTTTCTGTTCTGTAGTATCAGTTTCCTGTTTGGGACTTGATTCTATTTTCTTGCTAACTTTCTTCTTTTGGGTTGAACCACTCTTGCCGGACTTTTCCTTCCTTGCTTTAACTGAGGAAGATGCTTGACTCGCCGGTGTTGCCTGAGATTCAGTGATTGTCATCGGAGTTGCAGCTTCCTCTTGAGGACCTGATTCATCTTCTGCCCTTCTCTTTTTGGTATCTGGTGTAGTGATAACCGATTCATGCTGTGTCACTGAAACCTCAACTTCATCCTTAACATTCTCAACTTTCTCCTTAGAGTCCTCTACAGTAGCCGATGGAGTTTTAGTCTTCACGTCAATTTCTATCAACTCTGATTGGTCTGTCTTGGGAGTGCCGTTTTCTAGAAGCTTAGCTTCAACCTTGGACTCTGCACCCTCATCAACGTTTGACTTCTTGTCAAGTGAATCAAGAGAAGAAGTTACAGAGAGTTCGGTGCCACATTCAGATCCACTGTGTTCCGCTGGAGCAACCTCTTCCAGAGACTGCTCCTTTGTAGTTTTTGCAGTGTCAACCTCTGATGAATCTATATCCGTTATGCCTTCTTTACAAGAAAGCGTCATTGCTTTGTTTGAACCAGCAGATGAAGTTAGTTCTTCAAACTTTGATTTCGCTGCAACGAATGAAGGATTGCTAGCCTTGCGCTTCAAAGAATGTGTAGGTTGTTCATCCGCATATTCAGCTTCTTTGAGCAAAGAATCTGTCTCCTTAGCAGTAGGTGGATGAGACTGGATCACGTCATGATCAACCTCTGCAGATGCTTGTGGTGAATCATATTGGCGCATTTTGTCTGTCTCAGATAGCTCCACCTTACTTGAGAAACCAGTATCAGCTTCGGTCTCTAAGGTTGAGTCAGAGCTCACGAAGTCAGCTTGAGATGATACCTTGACATTATTGGGTTCATCCAACTGTTGCTCTTCAGATGCCAAATTTGCTTTTGGAGTCTTCTCAGGCTTTGAAACAGGCATCCACCTCTCCAACCAGCTCCAAGCAGAGCTAGGTTTTGTTGGATCACACTTAATGCTGATAGGCTTCGTCTTGGGAGTTGATTCCATTAGCTATACAATCAAATATGCAACAAAAATAAGTATACAAATACTACGAATCACCAGCTTTAATGCACAAGAACCAAGTTTATAAAAAACATACATGTTTAGCAAACTTGTTCTCCAGAAGTTTTTGTGCTGCTGCATTTATTTCCGCCTTATCCTGAAACAACAAACAGTATTGATCCGCATAATTCACAAGGAAAACAAAACGTTACTGACACCTTGACTGACACGTCGACCATGAATCTCAAAAACTTACCGAGATTGCTGAAACACGGCTTCCATCTTTGGCGGAATGACGAGCACGGACGAGCGTCTGCATTTTGACAATAGCTTGGACACAACGCAGTGATCCCATGGCCTGGTTCCTAACAAGGTGGCCACGTACAGCAGCTTGAAGCTTAATAACTTTCTTGCGCCTCAACAGTTCTCTTCTCGCCTGCAGTTTAACAACACCACTCATTAAAAAAAGTTCTCAAAGCGGATCTTCCTCAGCAGCAACACAGGTTGGATAAAAATTAACATCTTTGTAATTTACCATGTTCATAACGTTAATGAAAAGCTTTTTCACATAAACTAGTGTGTAAGAAAGGAAACAAGAGCATACCAAAAATCCACGTATAGCAGATTGGATGATAATAACAACAGAATCATCAACTTCTTTTCTGATAATGATCACATCATCTGATTCAACCTTTTCAACCACAGGAATAGTGTCCTTCTCTTTCACAGCTGCATCAGCAACATCTGCTTCTTCCAACTTAGATTTCAACTCAGTTCCAATCAAATCATTCTCCTCAGTTTCAGTCCCTTTCGATTCCACAAGAACAGGCACCTCCGCTGCTTTGTTCACATCCACAGGTTCAGACACATAGGTAACAGGTAAATGGCTCTTCTTCTCATCATCAACAGAGAACGTCTGCTTTTCAGAAACAATGTTATTGTCAGGAGAAGGAGACTTAAGAAGAGCAGATTCAAGAGTCTCTCTAGTCCTAGAAACAGGACTAGTCTCAGATACAGCAACACTAGTAATCATCACCCCTTGCTGCTTCCCAGATTTCTTCCTGAAACTCCATCCTCGCTTGTCACCAGAGCTCTTATTCTACATCCCAAATTAAAACAAATCTTAGTCTACATTCCATAGGAAGGCTAAAGACACTAAAATCATTACAACCAAACCTACTAAAAGTGTGTAATAACGACTCAGATCTTAAATTAGAAACTTCTTAAAAAGGTAAAATCACTAACTGCAAGAAATTTAAGGAGCAAACCTCTAGGGAATTAGCCGTAGGTTCGGTAGCATCGTCTCCACCGGAGCAAGCGATGATACGGAGACAAGAAGAAGCTGGAGATCTTCCCATACCGTTTTATCTTCTTCTTCTAGTAACTGTCGGATCAGTACAAAACACACACACACACACACAGTTTAGAGAGTTTAAGAGAGAGAGTGTGTGTCTTTGGGAAATGGAGCAAAAGCAAAAGACAGAACTGAAAGGGAAGGAGAAGAGATTAAAATAGGGTTAAGTATGAGATTTGGAATCCGCCCAGACTTTTTTTCTCTTCTGTCCGTTGAGGTGCCAATTAAAGCGTTAAAACGTTGTCACTGTCAGTATCATATCTCTCTCGTGACTTTTTTTAATTATTTTCCTCTTTTTATCCAAAGTTTTTTTAAAAAAAACGAACAAATACAGATATATTTGATTCAATGATTAATGTAGTGGGGATTATTCAATTATATGCCAAGTCGATAAATGTTGGTTCGCCTATAATAATAAGACAGCATGTGACTGTCATGTGCACTAATTCAGATAGCTTTGACCATTTAATCTTTGTTTATTTAATTAAATCTGGTTAAAGTCTTACTTATTTTGATAAAAAAATTTTTTTTGCAATGTAAAGCAAAAAATGATAATGATGTGTTAACAAAAAGTTTAAGATGAAGCAAATGGTTTCTCAAAGCTTTCTCTATAAGTCTTTCTCCTCTCTTTAGCAGGTGAAAATGTTTTGTCACTTTATTCTTTCTTTTTTTTGTAGTTTGAATAGGTTAAGAAATTGGAAATTATGTAAGATGGGCTTTGTGGGTCCATAATGGGCCAATCCAGGAAAAAAAAAATAGCCGTGATTTTTGAAGAGGTAATGGAAGGTGTGGGTTCACTCTCTTACCAACTGATCGAGTCCTGACGACTACTCATTGTATCATTGACATGTTTTGTTTCCATATCTGAAGTACTGCCAGCTGGTCAGCATATGTAACTTTGTTGTTTTCTTCCACAGAGACAAAAACAACAACAGGAAAGTGTGGGGGCTAAGCCTAAGGGACAATGAATTCGAACAGAAAATTAAATTATTCTACTTGTGATTAGAGTCGGATACATAGCCACCGGCCGATCTGTTCTTAGATTTTTAGTTCGTTTTCCTTTTTTTTTGTTTCACTACGTAATTTGACTCACGTTTGTTATAAATGAGTACAAAGTTAACGAAGGCGTAATCAGTATAACTAATTAAGTGATAAGCATGAGGGGTTTTGCGTGTGAAGATAGGAACGAACCTTTCACAACCATAGCCAATATGATTAATCTCAAGACCAAAACCCAAAGTATGGTGTTATTAATATTAGAATACACTAAGAACCATCACTACTTGCTTAAATCTCAAGTCAAATATCTCAATCATGCATTTTCATTTACTATTTTTATGTCGTACTCGCCGACAGAAATAATCTCAACCAGTTCAACAATCTTACAAACTTCAAAATTTTGTTTGAGTCAGTTAAAAAAAAAATAAAAGGGATGAGTTATGCGAATACACATAAGACTATGTACCATGGTTGTATGAATTAGACATCCTAATTTACGTTTTTTTCACATTCAACATCAGCCTCTCTTTCAACCACCTAATCATTCAACACATATATAAATTATATCTCTACAATGGTTTGTTTAAGTAGAATTCAACACACTAATTTATATTCTTATTTCTATAATTTAATAGCTATATATTAATTTGAAAATTGATTGTAACTAAACTAAATAATTTAAAATTATATATTTTAATAATTTAATTGTATTACATTCTTTATTATTTTCCAAAATAATGTTAAATAATATTATTAAAAGAAAATATAAAATAACATAATTGAGTTCATAATATTAATATTAATAAAAATAGTAAGTATAAGAAAAAAAATATTTTTATTCTATATCCAAATTAAATAAAACTAATTTCTATTTATAGATCATAAAACATAATAGTCTTATGTTTATATTTTTGATTTTGAGCTTTTAGTTTGAGTTTTTAATTTTTAGACCCGCTGAATTAGTTTGAGCTGATATTACCAATAAAAAAATCCTAAATAATCGAATATCTAATTTAAAACTGAAAAATGACAATTTTTTTTTTAAAAAATTACAATAGTTTATTTTGTAAATAAACAAAAACAAAAAATATAACATGCGTTTCAGCTTTTGGTTTTGGATTTTAGTTTTTAGATTTGATTTTTGGTTTTTCTTTACATTTATTTTAAATCAGTAAATTATTTAAGAAAAATAAAAAAATTATTTTAAAGTTACCATTGATATTTATCAAAACAAAGTGATTGTTATTTAAAAAAAAGTACTTTAACATGTTTTAAAGTACATGATTTAAATAAATGATTAATAATAGACAATTTTGTTTTGTTAAAAATATTAAATATCTTTTGGGTTTGAAAATAATAATTGATTTCTTTTGATTTATTAAGATGGAAAGCTTATTAAATGTTTTTTGAAGTTTTCCTTAATACGAGGATTCTTTCGCAATCTGAGGCGTTAATTTACCTACTAAAATATCATCCGATTCAGTTAAGCCCAAAAACCAAACCATATAATTTGTTATAAAAACAAACGTAAGCCCAAGACTATATCCCATAAATAACCACTGATTTAATTTACGTAATGTTGTTTAATTAATTATATGGTTTGTATTATTTGTAACACTCTAAAAATGGTCTAAATTAAAATATGGTCTAAATTGAAATAACAATTTGTATTATTAGATAATTTTTATTTTATTTTAATAGATCAGATGTCTAGCACGAAGGCACAAAAAATTTACCTTTTAGCACATCTTGATAAGAGAAAACAATAATATGACACATTATGATTATACACATATAAGATGAAAAAATAAAAAAATATACAAAGTTTCTTTTTTTTGATCAAACATAAAATATACAAAGTTAACTTGCCAAGTGTCTCCTCCAAACACAGAGCCATTAACAATCATAAAAACTTTGGTACGGTTCGGGTTCAATGGGTCGGTTAATTTAAGTCCGGTTTAATTTTACACGCCGACTAACCGCCAGAAATCTATTATATAAAGTAAAGCATCAATCCCTCTAAGGCTGTCCACGTAGACGCCAGCGTGGAAAGTCCACGTAGGACAGATGTATTAATGGACTCAGTTATTTGTTTTTGGTGGGCTTGCTCTGCCTCTTGGTCACTACGCTGTCTGTCCGAAAAAATCTACTAACCCTAAGTTATGCGTCAGTTGATATTCTCCACTAGAAAAATCTGGAAACCTTACGAGAGTTACGCTGAAGCGAAGAGTCATCTTCAAAGCACTCATCAACCATTGTTCTCCACTCCTCACACGTTCTAACTTCTAACCTTGAATGCATCCCCTTTAACTTTCTATAAAAAGGTATGTTGTATTCCGTGTAATTCATCAATTAAACTTCTGAATCATAAGCTTTCTAAAAAATATATCTGATTGCCTTGCGAAACTCATAATCTTCAATCTATTTGTTAACAAGCTTTAGTTTCCCGGTTTTAAGGATGATTTTTTCTGATTGTTCAAACTATTGATCCGTTGAACCGTTTTTAGATTGTATATGAGGGGCAAGGGAGTGTCTGAGAGCGATAGATATTGAGAGAGGAGACAGTGAACTGTGAACAGTGGTGGCAATGTCGGAGAGCTTCATCGCCTTTGGATTGGAGACTCTCTCTGGTATTTGGTGATGCCAGAGTAGATTCCACAAGGACTGCGGCTGAGAAAGATGTGACCAAGAACAGTGATGAGTTAATAAAACAAAAAGGCTGTGAGTTCTTTTTTCTTGTCCATTACTGTTTCTTTGGTTAGTGGACGTCTCTTAGGTCTAAATTTTGTTTTGCTTTTGTTTGGGATGATCATTAATTCATTATCATCACAGTCCTAAATTGATATCCTTTTTAAATTTTCAGGCATGTCATATGCCTTTTCATATGCCAAAAAGGCATATGTATCACAAATTTTGGAAAATTTCAGGACACATGAAAATCTCTTGAAAGTTTCCAAAATGATCATTATTGCCAAGCCAGATGCATTAACGATAAAGCTGTTGAAGTTTTCCATGGTAAGTTGTTCCTCACAGCATAATAAATTGCATGACTCTCTTCACTCTCAAACAACCTCATCGTTTTGGATTTGGTTAATCGCAGGAGTATGAACCCACAGGAAGAACTCTGTCTAGGAGTGAACCGGAGGTCCCATATCATTCAAAGAGCCAAGGTGAGGAGAAGTTGGATACTGCATTTGAAAGCTTAATGAGTTTTAGCTCTGTTTATTTCAAGATTTCATGAGAAGTTCCATAATAACATTATGTAAGATTTGTTTACCTACGTTGAATTGAAATTCTTGAAAACTGTTGCTGTTTAAGAATTTAATGTTTGCTTATATTTCTGATGATTATGTTTTCGTAAATTTATACACATGTTTTTGACATGTATAATGTACGAGACATCCAAACGTTTCTTCATTTTTGAGAGAATCTGGTTTCTGAACAAAGATCCAAAACATCCCCAGAGCCAGATCCGAAGCCGCTTGGTGATGACGAAATCTGATAGAGTAAGAAGAGTGGCAGTTGTTGCAGCCGTGCATTCAATGGTGATGAAACAAACGATGCAAAAAAAGACAATGATGATTTCTTTTATGATTTCAAAAGTGATCACATCCCTTTTGTAGTATTGATTTTTTGTTCTTTTTTTTGTAGTTTTGAAATAAACTTTCGAAAAATTATTAAAAGATTGAGATCTTATATTTTTGGTATTGGTTGGACACATGATTAATACAAAATATAAGATCTCTGTTTTAAAGCGTTGACATTACCTTATTTGGTACTAGGGTTGATTGAAAATATGTATAGTAGTATATAAATAAAACGAGTATATATATTGATTTGTGATTTAATATGGATTTAATTATAAAAATGTAGATTTATATTTAAAACAGAGATCTTATATTTTTGTATTGGTTGATTGAAAATATGTATAATAGTATATAAATAAAATGAGTATATTGATTTGAAACATATATAGTAGTATAAAAAATATTAGTGATTTAATGTGGATTTAACTATAAAAATGTATTTAATTTAAAATTTTAAAATTTATATGTTAGATCCAACACAATGTTTCTGATTTATTAAGATAGATGTATATAGACACACAAGATTTATCACACAACTCTAAAAAAAAGTAAAGAACACAGTTCAACCATAGTACAAATCCGAAGATAAACAAATAAACTTTGTAGCCTTTTTTACACAATATAGAGGTCAAAGTAACGTATCCCCGGTGAAGCGTAATTACTAAAAAATATTCAAATTATTAACTAATTTGTATACGTAAGATATTATAATATGAAAATCTATCACATTCTTTAATAATATTATTTAGAAACATAGAAGAAATGTATATTTTTAACTACCTTTCAAAAGCCTATTCTAAGTAAATGAAAAGCCTATAAATGATATAATATTTAGGAGTAATAACTACTAAACAGTAAAATATATACAAATCTCAATGTGGTTAGATTACTTATATTCTCCTCTTCTAACTCTATACATTATTAAAATTTCAAATATCATATATTTAAATTTATAAATCATCAAACAAATTGGTTCAAAATACATGAGTTAAAACAAACATGAAAACGATATTTACCTTCAATATGTAATTGACATAAACATATAAATACAAAATAATTAGCAAAACATTAACCTGAATAAAAAAGATTAAAGATCACAAAAACAAAATATGGCAAAACTTACATTAAATAAGGCATATAAAATATACATAAATCATATACCGCTTCAGTATATCCAAACATGGAGACTTTTCATTCAAGTACTAAACATACATATATTACACTTAAAAAGTTAAATATTCATTACATTACTCCAAAAGGTCAAAATGAAAGAAAAAAAACTATCTTCGAGAAAAACACTTGAATTGATTAAAAGAACTAACTAATAGTAACACTTGGCCGTTTATATTTTGTTAAGAACACAAAATTATCTTAGCAAAAAAATATACATCTTACCATTGCAGAAAAAAAACCTAGAAAATGAAATTATTTATATTTTCAGTTCCTTTTAAAAATAAAAATTTAGATTAAAAGTCCGCGCGTAGCGCGGACCGGCCCTAGTTAATAAAATATCATTGCTGACATATCTTTGGTTTCCTTCTTTTCTCTCTGTGTCTCTCTCGCAAAACATAAAACAGTTTTGTTTCTTTGCGATTATCAGATCTCATCGGAGAGCTAAGCAATGGCTTCAGGTTTCAGCGGCGATGAAACTGCTCCTTTCTTCGGATTCCTCGGCGCTGCCGCCGCCCTCGTTTTCTCATGTAACATTACCAATTCCATGATTTGGTTTTTGATCCGATCCGACCCGATCGGTTTATCCGTTTTATTTGTTGTTGTTGTCAGGTATGGGAGCAGCGTACGGGACAGCGAAGAGTGGGGTTGGTGTGGCGTCGATGGGTGTGATGAGACCAGAGCTTGTAATGAAATCGATTGTTCCTGTGGTTATGGCTGGTGTGTTAGGTATTTATGGTTTGATCATTGCTGTCATCATCAGTACTGGTATCAATCCTAAGGCCAAGTCTTACTATCTATTTGATGGCTATGCTCATCTCTCTTCGGGTCTTGCTTGTGGTCTCGCTGGTCTCTCCGCTGGTATGGCTATTGGTATCGTCGGTGACGCTGGTGTTAGGTAATTGATAAAAAACCCTGGTTTTGGTCACATATGTCAAAGTCTTAATCTTGGTGTTATATAATTGGTGTTTGAGTTATTATTATTTAGAGCTAAAATGATTGAATCTTTTTATTTTATGGTGAAAGTGAGAGTCAGGGGATGTTATATGATAGTTGCTGCTTCTTTATGTTGTTGTGTTTGTATCTAGTTGGACTTGGGAGATATGTTTTGTTTTTGTAATGTGGTTGTGTTATTTTGTGTGTGTTTGCAGAGCGAATGCACAACAACCAAAGCTGTTTGTGGGAATGATTTTGATTCTCATCTTTGCTGAAGCACTTGCGTTGTACGGTCTCATTGTTGGTATCATCCTCTCCTCTCGTGCTGGTCAGTCTAGAGCCGAGTGATGTCAGAAAGCTTTTTGGTTAAAGTCTCTTTTTTTAATGTTTTATGATATATTTCACTTTCAGCTTTCTTTTGTGAGTTTCTCATGAAAACAAGCTACATGGGTGTTAATCATTTGACTTCGGTTCTAATTTTTTTTTTCTTTTTCCGTTTGCTATTTGGAATATATCAATAATGAATAAACATGTGATGATTCAGGTAACTTCTCTCGGTCAACTAATGATTTACGGACTTGGAAGCCTTTGTACCACTAGATCTTAAAAACGATGATTTTAGAGTACAAACTGATTGAGTCGGGATTAATAACACTTTGAATATCAAATGGCGTTCTTCTTTTTGGTATAAGTTTATTAGGATGATTTTTATTCTTACATTTGGTTAGTAATCACAAATCCGTTGTAGTCTAGCTGGTTAGGATACTCGGCTCTCACCCGAGAGACCCGGGTTCGAGTCCCGGCAACGGAGCTTTTTTTTGGCCTCCCTTTTACTTTCTGGTAGAGAAAAATAAAAGTTCTCTCTTTGCTCAAATATGAATTCACAGAGAAAAGACTGACAAAACGGAGAAATATTATTGAACCATAGTTAACATCTTGTCCTTGCTCAGCAAGAACATTATTTGGTATCAGAGTTTTGAAAACATTTGCGACTTTGCACAAGACAAAAACATGTAACCATTACAATGAACGGTGCAACAAAAGCCAGTCATCACGGACAGTTCAATCCTGAAAGACCTGATTCATTAGGCTGAAACAACGGTTTGTTGTTTTGATGATTCATCACTTTCTTGCAAGCTCTCATAGTATTTGACAAGAACATTCCATCCACTCGGACACATAAACCCATCTGGAGGACTCTCTCCAGTTCTTGCATATGTTCGCATCTGAACCAAAACATGAAAACCCTTTAAAACTGAAGTCGGAGCATTCATTATTCATTACGAATCTTAAAGACTCAAATCTATCTTACCTTTGTTCCAGAAATGAAAAGAAACTCTTTTGCACGAGTGGGATCGAAAAACGCCATCTTCTTCTCAACTGTATCATAAGCTGCAACCTGAAAAAAAAAACACAGACAAAGAACACAAGATTATGATTTGAAGCAACATATAATGATAAACAACAAACTTTGCATTACCTTAAACGGAAGAATATTAAGTTTCTCAAGTCCAGGAGCCATGCTCAAGACTTTCTTCCCATGATCAGGATCATAAAGATCTCTCTTCTCAGTAGGATGTCCCATCCCCGCAGGATCACGACCTACGATATAAAAATTAGCACCTGCATTGATTCTAGCCTTGGCGTGCCACTGAACTTCCGTTGGACCAGCATAGTGCATAGGTGATGGAAATATCGAGACAATAGTAGTCTCCGGGTCAAGAACTCCATCTTCTAGAACCTAACACACATCATAAAAAACAAATCATAATCATATCAGTAATGATAAATGATCTACAAACTCTCACCTTACTATGTTGTTCCATTCTAACATCAAGAGGAACATCATCAGCCTTAGTAAAACCTCCCAAAGGATGAAGCAACAGAACAGGATTCTTATAACCCATCTCCAAAAGCCTCTTTCTCGTATCATTCATCAACAAGGCATGTCCATTATGCACAGGGTTCCTCAACTGGAACGCAAAAACAGCATCCGCTTTACGATTATCAAACTCTTTCCTAAGCTGTTTAGGAGACAGCCTGTAATGATCAAGCCCATCATTATACTTAATCGCCTCGAAAACTTCTAAATCTCCACCTATCAACCATTCTCCAGACGGAGCAATGTGTTCTTCCACATAAGGTAACCCTGGAGAAGTAGTTCCCCATGTCCTCGCAATCCTCTCTTCCTTGTTGTGTTTGTATATCTCCACACTGCAAATTAGTTTAAATTTGTCAAGTTAGTCAATAATGTTAGTCCAAATCTACAGATTACTCTAATTCATTTTGTTTTGTATATTTAGATAATTCATCAAAATAAATTTATAATTAAAGAGTAACTAAAATATCTTATTTTGACCCCCAAAAAAACTAAAATATTTTACATAAATATAAAATAAATCAATAATTTGTTAAAGCCTACTACTATATAAAGAGCCTAGTTACCACTTAGCTATTTTTTGAACATTGTCCATAGCCATTCAAAGACTTAATCTTTCAACACTTTAAACACAACTAAAGACATAACTGCTTTTGCCCCAAAAAAAGAAGAAGACATAACTGCTTAGAAAGCTATTTACCTGCGGAGAGAGGCGATGATGTCTCCTTGAGGGGTAACAAGAGCAACGTTTTTAGACACACCAATCTGTTCTTTGGTCTGATCATCGATTGCAAGAACAATAGGAAGAGACATGTTGACAAAAGTCCCATCTTTAAGCCTTAGAGAGTTGAAATGAAGAGACTGGAGATACTCGTCTTCTCTCATGAACCCTTTTAAAGGACTAGCCCAGCCTTCGCTGATCACGTGTACCCATTCAAGATCTATCTTCGTTAAGTTAACTTTCGGCATTGAATCTGCTTCTGCCTTCTTCAGATCGATCTCTGACTTTGGAACGAAGAGTTCCACTAGCTCCCCACCGTCTGGTTCGATCAAGGAGCTTTTAACGGTCGTTGACGAAGGAAAGGTGAGATTTTGCATTGTTGGGTTGATTTTGTAGACTAAATTAATTAGTGGGTTGTGGTTGAATGAGGAGAAGGAGAGTGATTTTGAGGGGATTTGATTGGGGGAAGATGATGGTTTTGAGTTTGTAAGGTGGAGTTGAGAGATGTAGGAGGATCTGATCAGAAGAGGCATGGATGTTGGTGAGGAAGAGAGGGGAGTGGGGAGTTTGGAGTGAACATTGAAGGAGGTGAGATTTGGTGGAACATGTTTGGAGGAAGGGAGACGAAGAACAGTGATGGGAGTGTCAACGAGATCCACACGTAATGCCACTTTTGACTCTTATTATGCTTTTTCGTTTGTGGATTGGAATTACTAGTTATTGTGTGAAATATCATTTTTACCCTTTATTTTATGGGCCGTTGTGGATTATTGGGCTTGGGTTCGAAACAACTTACTAAAATACGCTCACTGAATTCCATTTAGGCCAGATAATTTTGTTTCAGTCCATAATATGCAAATCCTAATCTATATCATTTTTTTTTCTTGAAGTATCGCGCAAACTTTATTTTATTTGATCTCTTTAACATATAAAGTTGGCCCCATTACATTTTACATTGAGTTGGCATTATAGTGTTGATGTGAATATCTACTGATCATCAATATGGACGTTAGTGTGTGTTCTGTGCTACTTTCTTTGCTTTAATAATGGTAAACAGTGGGGTAAACATGTTATTTCCCCACTAAAACTATCATATAGTATCAGATATCCATTAAACTATCAACTAGTGTTATATTTCCCCGAATTATAAGTTATAAATTTATTTCACCCCAAATCGATAGTTCGAAATCTATTTCTCCTCGAACTAATAGTTTAGAAGTTAATTACACATAAAATAGTCTAACCGGTTTATTGTTAACCAAACAACTTTAAAACCAAATAAAAATTCAATCTTATCAAAAATTAAGTTTTTAAAATCTCTCAAAATTTCTTTGATAATAGTGTTAGTGTGGAGTTTGAATAGTGAATTAGCATTTTTCTTCTTTGATAAAAAATACATTATTGACATGTTTATTTAGTTTAAATTATATGGTTAACAATAAACCAATAAAAATCATAATATATGGACAATTAAGTTTCGAAGTATCTATCCATGGAGAAATAAATCTGTAACTTTCTATTCATAGAAATTTAGTACGAAGTCATAGTTCGGGGATATCTAATTCTATATGATAACTTTTGTGAGAAAATATATCATTGGCTCTAAACAGTGTCCCCTCGTTATAATTCCAAAAAAAGGATCAAATTAGTAAAAAAGTAAAAACAATTGCATCAAAGCATTTCACAAGTCACAAGAAAAGCTTGGAGTTGCGGTAAAATAAGGTAGAAAGTGAGTAGACTACAACTCATCATTCTTTATGTCCCAGATATCTCATAGATCCTAAACCGTACGTGTTAAATCTCAAGCCAATTAACCTATAGCAATCGTACGTGTACAATAAGTCACGCCACAGACGATTATTTAACCCCATCCAATCCAAGGTTAAGTTGAATTTAAAAAAAAACAACCACTGGCATTGCAGTAAAGTTACAAAATTCAATTTACACTTAATTTTAGATATTTATTTCCCCTCATTACTATATTTTGTCTCTTTCCCCGCTCTCGTGCTCTCACCGCCGTCTGCGTAACGGTCGCCGGCCGCATTACGCCGTTAAATCCGTTCCTTCCGCCGACATTTCGAAAATCAGCTCCTCCGAAGTCTACCTGACGTACTCCGATTCGATTGATATACTCGAAAGCGTTTTCTTAGTAGGTATTGAAGTAGAAACCGATTCCTCATTTGAGATTGGTGTTCATCGATCTGAGCTCGTCTTTAGTATGTATCAGAGGCACCATTGTGTTTAATCTTCGGTTGATTAGAAATGGATTTCAAATTTATGCATCTTAATCTATAGATTTGTTAACTTCGATTTCAAACTCGCTGGAGGAATCTGATATCACTTAGAACAAATCGAAGTCTAATATTGTTCACTTTAGTCCTTTGATTAGCTTCTGATGTGCCGCATTTCAATTTTCGCCACCGCCGACACGAATCTCACTGTATTAGTAGGATTAACCAAAGTAGATTTGGTATACTAATGCACATTCTTTCAAGTGATTTCATGTGCTTCAGATTGTTATGATGATGCAACTTTCATGAGTTTTTAACTGGAGAAACACATTCGTTCATTGATTGATTGATGATGCAGCTTCCTGCTAGTTGAATCAGTATATCTTTGTTCTATACTAAGTTGTAATCTGACTGATCACATTTTTTTTAATTTATCTTTAGCAGGTTGAACACTATGATTGGATCGTTTCTAACAAGAGGACTTGTGTATGACTCTGTTCACTTCTCATTAAGACTTCTAAAGTATACTACTTAATTATACAATTTTATTACTCTGTTTATTGAGTTTTCATTTTGTTGGCAGAATGGTGTTTGGATATGCGTATCCTGCTTATGAATGCTACAAAGCTGTTGAGAAGAATAAGCCTGAGATTCAACAGCTTCGTTTCTGGTGCCAGTACTGGTTTGTCAATTTGCCTTTCTCATCTATCATTTCTTGAGCTGCTTCTACGTTGAGTTTTTTTTTTCATTTCTTTCTTTTGAAACTTCTTGCAGGATTTTGGTGGCTGCTTTGACGGTTTTTGAAAGAGTTGGGGATACTTTCGCTTCTTGGTTGGTGTTGTTGATATAGAAATACGATTCAGATGGACAGAGATGTGTATATACTTAATGTTGTTTGCTGTCTTGTTTTCATGAAGGGTTCCTTTGTACAGCGAGGCAAAGCTGGCGTTTTTCATCTATCTTTGGTTCCCTAAGACCAGAGTAAGTGAACTTTATACAGTTTCCTGTATTTGTGATCCATTTGAGTTCTATCTCACTACACTTTGCCCTTTCTTCCCACAGGGAACTACATATGTTTACGATTCTTTCTTTAAACCATATGTTGCAAAGCACGAGAATGAAATCGACCGCAACTTAGTTGAGCTAAGGACCAGAGCTGGTGACATGGCGGTGATATACTGCCGAAAAGCAGTGTCCTATGGACAGACAAGAGTCACTGATATCCTGCAGTTTGTAGCTCTACAATCAACGCCAAAACCTCAACCTAAAGTAATATATATGCACCTACCAAATAATATCATTTCACTTTTCATTTTTAGTCCAGAGGCTTATTGATTCTGATTTTGCCATTATCTAACATTAGGAAAAGAAGCAGACTCCACCAGAAGCAGAGGAACAGAAACAACCGGATCTTAAGGTGGCGAGCCAAGCAGCTTCTATTCCTCAACCGCGTCCACAACCTAAGAAACCACAGCTTCAAACCAAAGAACCTATATCCGTAAAGCCTAATATATCTCCTCGTAAGCAGTTGCAAGCAGAAACCAAGGAAGCAAAAACCAGCCCTTCACTCACTTCTCTTCCTCCACCATCATCACCGTCAACCGCCACTAAACCAAACGCTGATCCAGCACAGCCATCATCAACTACAGAGGCAGAGAAAGCTTCAGAGACTGTTGCTGCAACGTTACCTGCGTCTGCGATAAAGCGAGCGTCATCTTCGAAAGAGACAATCAAAGAGACAATAATGGAGGAAACACTAAGGGTCACACGTGGGAGTCTGAGAAAAACTCGCTCAACGGGAACACGCTAAAGGAAAGGAAACTCACTCTTTGGATGGGTTCTGGTGTCTTGAATAATGAATGGGTTCTTTCTTCTTAAGGAGTATGATCGATTTTATTCGGAAAAGAATGGTGTCATCGTCTTTTTTAAGTTTAGATGCAAATTTCTCAGACTTGAGATTAATAACTGATTTGTCTTTTTCGGATTTAAAATACGGAATATATTCCCCTACCGGTGTTTGAACACAGATTTCATCAATTTTAAATTAACCTGTGTACTACAGCATCATAACCACAACAGCAAGACCTTCATAGGGTTCTCGTCATCCATGAAGCTCTTCAGCAAATTCCGCAAGATTCTTATGAAGATCCTCTTCATCGTTCCCTCCTCATCTTCCTCTGCCACCGTACGTCGTCACAAAACCGCCGATTCCCGCAGTGGCAGTGAGAGGCTAGAGACGCCAAAGATATCGTGCAGTAATTCGTACTACTCCTCTCAGTCTCACTACAGTGAAGCTATCTCAGATTGCATTGACTTTTTCAATAAGTCATCGGTTAATAATATGTCTCACCAAGAACGTGAAGACAAGATTGTTCATGAACTTATAAAAGAAGCGATGTGACAGATCATGTCCTCTTTTTTCTTCTTCTTTTCTTCACGTGGTGTATCAACAATAATTATACGTTTTGAACATTTTAATCATATGTATAAACTGTTAAATCTGGTTTAATATTTGGTGTTATATTCCTCTTACATATTGTATACACGCATCCCTTGTTTGTGAGTACGTGACACAAGGCTTCTAGCTGATGAATTAGTTCTGTGTATTAGCTGATAAAAAAAACACTAGCGTAATGAAGAGGAGATTAGAGAGTTCTCAGCCAACAAACTATATTCACAGGCTGTGCACGTTTCACTATTTGAGGAAATTAGCACTTTTATCTATATTCAATCAACTAGCTGCTGTCTTCCATGAATGTTAGAGAACATCACGACGTTTCTCATCTCATTTTTGGATAATCCGTTTGCGTCCAAAAATATATGTTCTCCGATCCAAAACGTCATCACAAAAGAGATCCGAATTACCATTATTATTATTAAAAAAAAAAACTAATTATAGCCAAGGCTTCTTTTGCTAGCAAAAATATAAAATTACATCTCAAAGTCTCTAATAAAATTAAAGTTTAAACATCCCTGCAAACTCAAACAATCTGTTTTCACAAAGCTTCTTACACCACACCAGAAGGTAGACGAAGAACGAGCTGTCCACCCATTAAACTGTTCCCAAGATCATATATAAAAGTTCCAAATCTTTAGACAATCAAAAACTATTCAACAAAAATATGTATTTTAAAAGGAAAGTTTTACCTCTGAACATAGTAATAGCAGAAATCTGCAAGGATGAAAGTTTGGATAATTTCAGAGAGGAGGACCATTAAAGGCCATAGTCCATATCCTAATGCTGTCAGTAACCTCCCTCTCGAATCCAACACCTACAAAACGTTTCAAATCATATTTTCAGAATTGCTGTATGCAAGTACAACAATAAATGTGTAGTTTATATAATTTTGTGTAGCTCAAGAACCTGAAGGATCCAGTGTGCACAACTCAAGAACCTAGCGATTCCCAAAGCAAACACGTAATGTGCTGTGAATGGTTCCACGATCTGACAAGAAGACATCATCAGACTTTGAGAGGAAGATTCAGACAGAACATGTTTTTTATTTTATTTTGTTAAAAGTGAATAATAATACATATACCTTAGTGTTCTGCATGACTCTTAACTGAGGAAGAACAGAAACAGCTTCAAGATAAACACAAAATGCCCAAAAGAGCCTGTTTATGATGTGGTGACGTGTAGACGGATGAATGAGCAAAGATACAACAGCACATGGGACTACCTGAAAACCAAACAATAAAAAAAAATTCCCAAAACAAATATTACAATGTATGATCAAATAACATTATTAATTCCAACAAGTATTCACTAGTTTTAACACTCAAAGAGAAACAAATAGTATAGGTGGTGGTATAACATACAACGTAGTAGATGGCAAAGTTGTCTTTGTCTTCCATATAAGTAGGTCTAAGATTGAAACGGATCATATAAATAACCCAAAGGGTCGTGGCCAAAGTAGCAGAATCGAGTAACGTGTGAAGATCAAACTCCATTACAAAGCTACAATACAATCTCACAGCCAGAAACAAAGCCGTTAGCTCCTGCGTCTTGAGAGATATCCCTATTAATTAATGACAAAAACATCATCAAAAACGTCATCAGACTATTCATTAGATCATTACAAAAGAATAAAAAATGTGAATTAATTATTATTATACCAGCGCATGTCTTCTCCTTGGTGAGTTTGTAAATAAGAACGGAGATCCCAACGGCATGGACAGCCTCAGAAGCTATGAAAAGGTTGTCATGCTCGTGGACAATCACCCTAAGGAAGACAAGGATCGTCATTGCCGTAACCACACAAAGAAACGCTTTAACCTTCGGTGGCTGCCGACGAATCCATGACATCACGGTCTGAATCGGACTCTTCTCCGCCTTCATCTTTTTTCAGATCTCTCTTTACTTTGATGAGTGTGTAATTAATGATGATCACACAATAACTAATCTCGTCTACGTTTTTTCAATGGGAGAAATGAATGAATCTGGCATGTTTCTTTAACGCAACCATACAACAAAGAGGCCATGTCTTTCGCGAAGAGGACACGTGGATGAAGGTAGAGAAGCTGTTAGGTGAGAGGCTGATAGTTTCTGTTTTTTGCAAACGACTTAACTTGCTACGTCTCTCCTTTTCTTTTGCATCTACGTACTTATTTAATTAATAACCCTTAAAACCGGTTTCGGTTTGGTTTGGTTTATTCTCAAATCATACCCATACCATACTCCGGTTCGATTTAAATAAAGAATTCATACCATACCCCGGTTTGAACAAAGGCCCAATTAAAACGGCCCATTAAATGAACTACAAATAAACCAACGGTCTTAAATCTCTCTCTCTCTCTTTCTCTCTTTCTCTCTCTCTCTCACTGACATATCTCTCTCTCTCTCTTTCGAACTCTTGTGCGACTTTTGCTTCTTCGATTTTGGAATCGGAACTTTTTTTTGTTTTTTTTTGTTTTTGCAGGATAGGTATGATGAAATTGAGTTCTGGAGAATCATCGGACCGAGAAAGCTGGGATAAACTTTTCAAGACATTGGTAAAGATTCTACAGACGAAACAAGACGACGTCGAATCGCTTCTTAAAGACAGAAAGCTTCTAGAAGACAAATTCAAATCTCAACAAGAGAACTGGATTTCAGATGTCCGTAACTTCGAGGAACAACTCTCTCTGGTAAAAAAAAAAAAAAATTAACCCCCTTTGTTCAAATTAGGGTTTTTTTTAGGGTTTCATGCTCTCAATGTTTGTTCAGATGAAGAGAGAAATTGAAACGATGGATATGAAGAAGGTCTTTGAGACCTCTAAAGACAATCTCTTGTCTGTATTAAAGGAAAAGGATCTTTCTCTTTGCAATTTGAAATTAGGTAAAAAAGTGACTATTTTTTTCGAAAAATTGAAATAAAAGTTTGTTACTTTCTTATCAAAGTTTCAATCTTTTTGCTTCTTTCTGTGTTGGGAATTGCAGAAGAGACGGTGGATGAGTTAAATGACTTCAAGGCTTGGTTTGATTTCTTCACTCTCAGTACAAATGTAAGTCAAAGTTTTAATCTTTAATCACTTTGTGAGTGTAAGAAACTCTTTAAAAGCTTCTTCTTTTTTTTTTAATATGCAGAAGGAAAGTGGTGACTCATTGGAAGCAGAGATGAGGAAACTGAAGCTAGAGTATGAGAAGCTTGCTTCTGAGAAGAAGCGTGAAGTATCTGATCTTTTACGGGAGAAGAGTTTTGCTTGGAGTCAGCTTAAATGTATCGAAAGTGGGTTTACTGATAAGTTGAAGAAGAAAGAAGATGAGATTGCTCAAGCGAATGCCAAGATATCTAGTCTTATATCTTATCAAGAGCAGATTCAGTCAGCTAACCATGAGAAAGATGAGATTATCTCTAGCTTGAAGGCTAAGGTTTCTGCAATGGAAATGAATTCTAGGAAGAAAGATGAGGAGGTGTCTAAGCTCTCACGGGAACTAGAGTCTTTGAAGAAGGCTCGTAGCTTAACACCGGTTTTGACTAGATGCACAACACGTGAGAAAGGTAGCAATAGTAACACGGTGGGATCTACTAAGAAAGAGAAGCTAGTTGCATCAACACCTATTCAAGAGGTAGTTGTGAATCTTTGAGTATGCGTGTGTATTGATTTACTCAAGGAGATTATCATTTACCTTTTTGAATCTTTGATTTCAGGAAATTAAAAGCTCGAAGAGGAAGAGAGGGAACAAGACCACCCCAGCCACAGTTTCAGTAATACCAAAGCTGTTCACTTCCACGTTTAGGATTCCCAAGTTAAAGTCTCCCCCATCTTCTGGAGCTATATAGATTTTAATCCCTTGTTCTTGTCTGCTTCTGTTAGATTTAGGAATCTGCATGTTTATCAATCTCTGTATTTAGGATCATCCCTCTGATGATGTATATTAGCTTTATATAGTTCTTGACCTTATTTAGTTAGGAACCTTTTTGTGTATTATTTGTGAGGTTTCCAGCAGTGTAATGTAACAAAGATATTTCAAGTGGCTTCAATAAAAGAGTTTTCACGGTTGTCTAATCTCTTGTTCTGTTTCTGGCAAAGTAGTTTTTGCTCTTATTCTTCAATTTCATTACACATGTGATTTTATATGATTCTCTTGATCTATGTACACTTTTATACTCACGTTTAAGATATTTAAAAGGAAACAAACAAAAGGGATATGTAGCTGCTTCTAGTCAAGTAAACCGTAACCACAAGTTTGATCAGCGTAGATACTCTCTTCTTCTTCAAATCAAACCTCGTCCTCACAAATGTCTTGTAATCATCTTCTCTTATCTTTCTCTCCTTCTGATTCCTTCTTATAATCCATCCCTTGAAATTCTCTCCCAGTTTCGTTTCATTTTTCCTCTGCAATGGCGACTACTTTGAATGCTGCTGTCTCTCTCACATCTTCAAAATCTTCCTCTCTTCCAGCTACAAGCTGTGCCATTGCTCCTGAAAGGGTCAGGTTTGGTAAGGTAGTGCCTTAGCTTTTCTCACTACATGATCATGATTGAAAACAGTAGCATATATGTGTAGCCAGGATCCTAGAGATACTCTGCCTTTATGGGTTTAGCAAATACAGTGTACTAGATTGGGTCTCTGACTTGTTGTTTAGTAAAACTTTTGGAAGATCGATGTCTTTGAGTTTCATCTGGTATGTGATGGGATCTTGACTAGGTATCTCTTGTTTTGGTTGTTGTTGTTGTGCTTTGAAGGGTGCTTTTTACTACAAAAGCACCAATGTAGTGACAAGCAGAAGACTGGTTTCGGTAAGAGCTGAGGTCACAACAGATACTCCTCCTGTGAAGAAAGTAGAGAAAGAGTCTAAGAAGAACGAGGAAGGTGTGATCACTAACAAATACAGACCAAAAGAGCCTTACACCGGCAAAGTCCTTCTCAACACCAAGATCACAGCTGATGATGCCCCTGGAGAGACTTGGCACATGGTTTTCAGCCATCAAGGTTTGGCCTGTCTCCTCCTACTTGATATATATGATTCATATCTTGGTTGTGATCCATGTAGTGTTGTTTGGATAGGTGAAATACCGTACAGAGAAGGACAATCTGTTGGTGTGCTTGCGGATGGAATTGACAAGAATGGAAAGCCTCACAAGGTCAGGCTTTACTCTATTGCAAGCAGCGCTCTTGGAGATCTTGGCAACTCTGAAACCGTAACAAACCATTTCTCTTGACAACTCTTATTCTATGAGAAGGCCATTTGTTTTGTGTGGTTAGCTGAATGAACAGGCTTCTGCAGGTTTCTTTGTGCGTGAAAAGGCTTGTTTATACTAATGACGCAGGAGAGGTTGTTAAAGGAGTTTGCTCAAACTTCTTGTGTAAGTGCCGCTGAAAAGCTCTTAATTTCTTTCATCTATTCTACTTTGGAGATTTCATTTCCTTTTTTCTCTTTTCAGGTGACTTGAAACCAGGGAGTGATGTTAAGCTCACTGGTCCTGTAGGGAAAGAAATGCTTATGCCAAAGGATCCAAACGCCACTGTTATTATGGTCTCTCTACCTAAAACCTCTTGAAGTTCTGATTCTTGAAACATCTTTAGTCACTAGTCTAAAACTTATGTACTTCTTGATGACGACCACAGCTTGCCACAGGGACAGGAATAGCTCCTTTCAGGTCTTTCTTGTGGAAGATGTTCTTCGAGAAACATGATGACTACAAGGCAAGTGAATGCTCTAATCAATAAGCTAATTTGATTATGAACAAAAACATCAAAATCTTTAACGTCTTTGCAATTGTTGTGATGCAGTTTAATGGCTTAGCTTGGCTGTTCTTGGGTGTACCAACCACTAGCTCATTGCTCTACACAGAGGCACATACACACACTAACTCTTCTTCTGCTTCCTTATTAGTTTCTTTCTATTGAAAAAAAAAACAAATCAACCTCCCTCCCTGTGTTGTTGAATATTCAGGAGTTTGATAAGATGAAAGCAAAGGCACCTGAGAATTTCAGGGTTGATTACGCAATAAGCAGAGAACAAGCCAACGATAAAGGAGAGAAAATGTACATCCAAACCAGAATGGCACAGTACGCACCTGAGTTATGGGAGTTGTTGAAGAAAGACAACACGTTTGTGTACATGTGTGGGCTTAAGGGCATGGAGAAAGGAATTGATGACATTATGGTCTCATTAGCTGCTAATGACGGTAATAAAAAAAGATGCAGGCACTCTAAATCTTGAAACATTCATTGTATAATCAAATGTTGTTACTAAGTTTTGTGATTGTTTGTTTGGTGATGGTTTTAGGGATTGACTGGTTTGATTATAAGAAGCAGTTGAAGAAGGCAGAGCAATGGAACGTTGAAGTCTACTGATTTAACATTTGGTTGCAAGTATAGTGGAACTAAAAGTGTAATTTTCGCATCTAAGTTTCTGTAATCTAAAGATAAGCTATGTTTTAGATATATCTATTATACTAAAAGAAAAAAAATTTAAAAAAAATTTTCATTATTCACTGCCATTATTTTGCTCTGATATAAATGTTACATTGACAGAGAGAGTTGTCCTCAGTTGATAGCAATTCTGTGACAATGAGACGAGGCCCACACAATTCTGTTAGTATACGAAAAAAATAAACTAAAATATTGTCAGAAGTGGGATTTGAACCCACGCCCTCTTTCGAAGACCAGAACTTGAGTCTGGCGCCTTAGACCACTCGGCCATCCTGACATCTTTGCTTAATGACTCCTATTTTACAATTTAGTAACGTGCTTTGAATTTGCCATTATTAGTGACCAATGATGTTTATGTGACATATGAAGGTTTGTGTTCAAATTCTTGTCTTCTCTTCATGTCAAAGAATGTTTTCATCTTAAGCTTTCTTATGCAGACAAAGGAGAAACAACATATTGTACTTGCCCCAATTGTGGGCACAGGTTCCTGAAGGTTGAGATTATTACAATATCCAATACGAGACTACCAGTTTTGTTTCTTACATGTATATATCCAGTGTCATCATCAAATATTATTTCTTATATTTATGTTAGGAACTCTCGAAATATTCAATCAGTGTAATACTAATAACCAAAATGTGTATTGTTTTCTGCGTTGCAACGGACTTTCGGTTTGAACGAGAACCTAGGCATGGGCAAACTACTGGGCGGAGGTGATAATAAAATGATGGCTGGACCTTTAGATCAAATCTCTATGGACATAAGTTACATAACATATTAACATTTGTTTAAATTGCTGACGTATAACATGTAGAAATTTAAACAAACTAGTATATGAGCATGTTGAGGAGAATATTACACATAAAAAATAGAAGATTAAGCAATAAAATGGGAAACGAGAAGTTGAAGCAAAGGTATGATAAAATAGACAGCAAAAATCCTTATTTGTCGTCGATCGATACCATATTGAAACTGTAAAGTCCATGCAAACACATGGACGTTACAAATAGAACTCCGTACATAACGCTCTTGAAAGTTTCTTCTCTACTTAACTTCTCTCAAGTGAAGAAAAATAGTAATGTGACAATGTGTGTGTGTTGTGTTCAAAAAAAAAAAAAAAAAAAAAAAAAAAAAAAAAAA